AAAAAAAAAAAAAGAAAAGAAAGAAAGAAAGAAAAAGAAAAAGATAAAAGAATTTTCAACCATTCAGTGCTCGCCAAGGACAATCATGACTGATAGATCTTCCCGGTGATTGAAGTACGTTCGTTCGTTCGTTCGTTCGTTCGTTCGTAGGTTCTCCTACTCTTTTGCCAACAACCATCGGGGGGAATCCTTTTTGGGCCAGGGCATCCAGGTCGATCTGGGCCGACAATCATTGGCCTAATGACGCCCTGATAGGCCCGGAGATATGCACGTGCAGCGGTCTAAGAGACTTCATTTGTGGTTGGTTCTGGTGGGGTTCAATTCGAATCCCCTTACTGGCTCCAAAGTCCAGTTGGGCAGCTGAGTCAGTGACTTTTCCACCTGTCGGGAGAAATCGAAAATGATTATTCAGACAAATATTCTCCACCTACGACTACTAACTATGTTGTCATCCTGATCGAATTGATTACAACATCATCTGCTGGACATTCACCAGGTACATGGGGAGTACCTGATCCTCTCATATTAAACTTTTAGATTCTTGAAGTACCTCACATGTATCCTCCGGCACTTGCATCTCCCACAAAAGGTTAATATTCTAATGACTTTCCGGACTCTGCGGAATCCTACATAACTTGTGTACTTTGACTAAACCTGCCAAGGCGCGTCGGTATTTGCCAAGGGAGATTATTTGTTTTTATTTCAATCGCATAAGGAACCTCTTTATACGCACTTGACAATCACCTAGAGAATGGACAAGTTGACAAGTTTCTTTCGCGGATATTTATTTATTCATTTCTATTTACATAGGTCATCACCCGGAACTGACGAGGATCGTCTCCTGGAATCTCCCTGTTCACTCCGCCCGTGAAATATTTACCACCTGTCCAAGCCTCGGTTCTCGCCGCCGTGGGGGCGTGGGTGCTCGTCGAAGCGATTGCGGTCGTAGGCCGGGTGCGGTTCGTGCTCATTGGGGTTAAAGTGAGGACCCTTTCGTTCGTAGTGCTCTTCGTACATGCGCTGGGCGTTCTCCTCGGCCTGCTTCTTAGCTTTATGCTCGTCGATCGCATCCCTGCCCTTGGTCTCAACCAATCTCGTGACACCAGCACCGGCCAAGCCAGCAATTATTTCCTTGGCAGTGCTGTGCGAGACTTCTTTGCCTATGGTGGTTCCAGAAGCGTTAACAGGCGCTGTCACATGGAGCGGGAGGGAAAAGTCAACGACAGCCAGTGTTCACATACCTTGCTTGCGCTGGTGCTCATCAAAAGCCTTCATCGCGGCAAAAGAAGCGGCACCGGCAATGAGATCGTGAGAGAGGTGACCCTCGTTCTTCTCCGGCTCATACCCCTGCACCTGACGGTGAGCTTCCTCAGCTTCTCCTATAAAAGGGAGTTCTGTTAGCCATTGAAAGTCATGTGCAAACAACTACCCCGTCATTAAGAGAAGTTCGAATTCCGACAAGCAGGGGAATCCTTCAAAGCTCGCACGCCGAATAACTTGGATAAATTCGGTGAAATTTGACGAGGGGAAGAATGACTTACCCCAACCGAAAGGCATTGTGATATGGTATGTAAAAAACGTAAAAAGGGAGGAGATGGAGATGGATGAAATGAGCAGGATATTTTGCAGAGAATGATGAGAAGAATAGTCTGAGTAGCAGGGGGTGCGATACATCTTAATATACCTCGACACCCCCCCACTAAGCTGGCGTACTCTTCAGCTTATCGCTACCCCTCCATCTGCCTACGTTGCTCTCTGCCCCACCTATCTCATCTCATGAGGATCGGATTTCGGACCTGGGCGAGAAGGGAGGCAACCCATGCGATGGGCGGTGGACCAATCGAACAGGTCACATCCAGTGATCAGACGCAGAGACTGCCACGTTACCAAAAGCATAACAGCAGGTGCGGGATAGGAGGAGATCACTGATAGGAGTGTTTTGATGCGCGAGGATGTACATCAGCCACCGCCAAGACACCGAGATGAGGAGACGCTGGCGCTTAGCTTCCTCCGGTACCAGACTGTGGTTTTGTTGAATCCAACCACGGTATGGGTTTACTGGACATGATCCAGTTGTCGGGGCTCTTGGCAAAGAAGAGGGGCGTGGCTTGAAACGTAACAAAGATTGTAGTGGATCAAGGTCCTCATTTCCCTGCAGAGAATCCGTAAGGTAAGTAGCACCGAGCGCGTTTTGCTCGTTTCAATAGGATCCTGCCTTAGGCATCGAAAAATCAAAGGCGGCTACCCCGTACAAGCAGTACAAGGCTTCACATAGATGAGAGGAGATGGGGTTAACGGCGAAACCATTTCACCTTCTCATGAACAGAACACCGTAGGGACAATGGGACATACGTGTCTCCAGAGATAATGCAGCGCCGATCGAATGGGTCCACACTGGGTCGTGGCCCCTCAGCCTTACTCCTGGGCGCGTAGACTAAAAATACGGTCATCAGCCACTGAGCCACAAATTCCGGCAGCCGTAGAAGCCCGGTCGACCCGAGCCCTTCTTCCCCCTCTCCGCCAAGCTTCTCTTGTCCCAAGGCTTGTCGGCGACCTACGCCATATGCCAGGAGATCCGCGTCGGCAGTTTCAAACAACAGTGGGAAGGATAAATATCCTCGGAAAAGGATTCCATAATGCTTGAAAAACCACAAAGCAATCGAGAAGGTCAATCCTGGGTTACGCTCCTGTATTAGGAATGGGAGCAATTTGTTTCATTTCCTCAGCCCATGTTAGCGTTTCTTCCTTTTTTTGGCTCATTAAGTGGAGAGAGTGTCTGAAGGCACCCATTTGTTTGGGACAAGTGTAATATTTTCCCCACTTGAGAATATCAGGGGAGGGTCGAGTGAGTAAATCGGAGTAACAGAAATACCTTGTGGCCGAGGACCATCGAATGGCCTCCGACGTCGCGAGGAGTGGCGGTGAATATCAATAGTCAATGGGGAACTGTAGGCAGCCACGCAGCTTTCCTCCGTATTAGGAGCAAAAGTGGCTGAGGCTGAAGTGGGGACAACGAGGGTAGCCTGAGGTACTAACGAATTCACTAACCTAACAAAATACCAAGACTACGTACGCTTCCAGCAAGGGGGGGGTCCTTCTGTCATACATGTGAATATTGTCCTTGACATTCTTCTCCATCACGTTAAACTTGTCAACTTGAGCCTTGCCACTGTTACTTTTCGGGCACTGGAGCTCAAAAAGGTATATCTACGAATTTATTTCGTCATGGAATACCGCCCTGATAAGTTCTATAGCAACGGACGCTCACATCATCCTTATCTTTTTTTATCTTAGCGACAAACCAAAGTACGGCTCACCATGATCCGAGAACAAGAGAAGATTGCAAATTTTCCTCATCAAACAAGAATTGGAAATTATATTTCACATTGCAGCTTGTAGTGCCACCCTGCATTATATCATATGCAAGTGAACGGCTGCATGCCTCTCGCAGACATTGCAGGAAGAACTGCATCGGGTGGTTATCTTCCCGGCTGCCTTTAGGTGCCTCAGGCCAGACAGCTGGTGGCAACAGTGTTCTTGCAGGTGACGCATAAACAGTTGGTAAACGTGCTTGTTCTTTTATATACTCCGGGAGAAGAATGCATTAATAAACAAAGACCTTTCTAACAAAGCTCTGAGAGGTGAAGTGGTCCGTGTTTGAAACAATCTCTGGAGTCTGGCTTTCAAGTACATACACAGTACTCATTATCAGGTCTCTCCTCCTTTACTAGGATGCCCTTGAATGCCATCTACCATAATGTTTGGTTGAAGTCCCAGTGAAGCTTCCACGTGAGGGGGGATCTATTTAGACTTAGTGTCTAGTTAAACTATTGTATTTATCTAGACATTGCCTGATGTTTGTTTTCATCTAGAAACATTTCGGAAGAATCTGAGCTCTTGCAAGGCACGCTCTGTCACGTTTCCTGTTCCGGCTGTGACAGATAGAACTAATTTCACTTCGGTTCAGCCCGTGTCGAATTCAAGAGCTAAACTTATACTCAATATCCGCAGAACAGCTTCCCCACAAGCTCCGCGATGTTGTTTACTACAGTATAACCTCGATATAAGCAACTCTGGTATAGGGAATTTATCCCGTATAAGCAATTAAAATAGGGGTCCTAATTAATTCTCCATAAAAAAGTCCCTTAAAATCCCAATAAGAGGAAATTTCCATTAAGGTAGCTATCTGCGCAAAGCCATACCTACCTGTGAACTACATTAGTCTAGGTGGGTCGACATAATGACTAGTATATTTGACTTCCTATCTATTGATTGATCTACTGAATATCACATACCTTATTTGGGATTTGAAACATTCGATTTAACTAAGGATAGCAGTGATTATCAATGAACGAGTTTCTTTGTAGGTTAAGAGGTGATACATCCAATAATCTGATCGGACTAACATGATAAACTCTCTTTAGCTCAGGGTTCGATCCTTTTCTTCAGCTCGTATACCTAAAGAGGAAATGTTTCTTCAGAACTGGCCGAGTAGGGTGTATGTTAACAAGACCAAACTATCGAATTCCCTGTTCATGATCACCTATATGTTATGATATTTTATCCCAAAGCAGTGGCAATGAAATTCTAAGAACAATAGTTCGAAGATATTTTATACGGTCTCAGCCGAATTCAGAACCTCAGTATTCAACCACGAAGTTCGTTGATTAGCCCTTTAGAGGTCAATCACAAATGCTATATAAACCCCCAAGTGACCAGTGACCCTCAGTATAATTCTGTATACTACTCACTCAACCATTCTTCATTTCCCCCAATCAATCAAGCTACCACATCCTATAAACTGTCATCAACATGCGGTGGATATCCTCCTTTATCTCTTTTCTGGTCCTTTGAATCTCAGCCAGCAATGCACTGGTCGATAAGATGTGTATGGATAATATGGACGCAATCAGCCAGGTGGCAGGAAAACCAACTAGGCCCTGTGTTCAATGAACAGGTCTGAAAGTCGAAAAGCTTGCAGACCAAATTGTGGAGAAATGTACAAAGTCCAACCACAATTACTGCAATGTAGATGATCTTAAAGAGATCAAAGCATGTGCAATTTTGGAGGCCATTGGATGGGGAATGATGAACATGGATATGCTGAAATACACCGACAAAAAGAACTGTGAAAAGCTCGTCCCCTGCTTGAAGAATCCGAAAACTTGGGCGCCTGCCAAAGCGTTAGTAAAAGAATATGCCAAATATAAAAAGTCTGTCACTGACGTAGTCCCCGGATGATTTCTCCATTACTAGCACAATACAATAGGGCACATGCTTAAGCTGTTACAGCGCAAGACCTGAACGCAGTTCTAGTTTGTCTGATGGGTGACTACGGGTTTCGAGTTATTTGTGTATATTAATATAGGCTTCAAATGTTTAACAGTTTGGTTTTTAGGGCTATTGGGATATCTCGTCCCATCCTCTTATCTCCCTCACCCAAGCAAATTGAATAAAGCCCTGGGAGTACGCTATGTCTTAATTATGTATAGCGATTGTTTCCAGGACTGATTATTCTAGATAGCTACCCTCAGAGTGATGATTACTGTTTGGTAGTTGTTTCTTCAGCTGTAAGCTTCGCTGAGACTAGTTTTGAGCTTTATGGACCATATCAGAGCAATAATGTTGTCGATGATAACTGAAATATGACATACCTGGTTATCCTGGCTTTGTTCACACCCAGCTCAGATGATACCATTCTCCATATCGGCCAACAGATTGGCCTGTCAATGCGATTGTCTCAAGGGTTTGTGGAGAACTTGTCCCACAGGCACTGAAGATTCCTTTATTCGCTCCCTTATATTACAGGAAGGGTAGGGCCAAGGGATGTTCTGGTATTTTCTCCTTCTTGTTAGCGTAACTAGTATTTTTAGAATATTTTACGATCAAAGACTGTCTAGATATTCAAAAGACTGTATAAGCTATGCGGTTTGTTAAAAATGATGGATTATGGGCAACTAAATGCGAGGAGATTCATTCACCAGGAGGTAGAAGGTAAATAATACTATGATTAGTTGCTGTTTGAAGCTTTTACAGTAGTCTTCTGTCTCTAATCTGGATTATATCAACTTGTGGTCAAACATGTACGATGACCGTGTAGTCTATGGTAATATCCACAACTTGGATATATTCCAATCCTAAAAGCCGAAATGAAGATTTAGAGCACTGGACGAGGGAATTACGGTAAGAGGGGTGGAAGAGAATATATCGCGCGCACTACAACAGAAACACCATCCAACGAATGAAATCCTAGACGAAGGGACCACGCGGAATTTTTTGGCGAGGATCGCACTATATTGTATCAACCTTTATCGACGTAAACCCAATTTGTCTCTGCCTCTTCCTCCGATAACTCGCTTGTTAGTCCCTGAAGGTACAGTTGGCATAGTTCAGCATGTCTTTCTTGGACTTTGTCAAAGTCAAGCTGAGGCGGTACCCAGCCATCATCATCGGAATGCAACAGCTCCTGTGTATACAATTTCAATCCATGCCAATCCATGTACTGAGAAACCTCAAGCTTATGCTTGGACAGATCTTCGTCTGTGATCGGGAAAAGACAAGCCCCGGGGAGGTCCATTTCGCGCCAATTTCAGAAATCTGGATCAAGGAATCGCGGAGTGGAATTATCCCATTTTTCCACGTCATTTCGCAGGATGAGAACAGGTGTCGTATAGCCTAGTGGACTCGAGTCAGAGCATAATACGACGGAAGGTGGTTCTTGGTAGCATTTCGAAAGTAGAGCTTGATCCCTCTCCGTCACCGCAAAGGCCTGTTCATCTGGGTCCATTTCGTGAAAGCTTGGAGGAAGTTCTGGTTTTACAATCCCGGTTTCGTAGTTCTCAGGTGGGTCAAGGAAGGATGGCCACTGGGCTTGCATAAATGCGGGCATGACCGAGAGGAATTGCCAATCGATAATGCTCATTATATTCATTGGATCTCGGTCACAAATGTATATATTGCCCAAATGACGGTCACCGTGCCATAGTGTTGGTCGAGAAAAGGGTTTCACAATAGGATGCTCTGCTAGTTTCGGTATTGTTCCCATGGCAGCGTCCAAAATCCGAGTATGTTCGTCCTTGGAGCCGAAATGTGGCCCACGAGGAACGAGGGTGGAATTCTGTATGTGTGCAAGGCCACGACCGGCAAATGCAAGACCAAGGTCCGTGACATTCGTCCCTATAGTATCCTCCCTTAGTACTGATTCAACAATAAAGCCTAAAGGACGATGAACATGGACCTGAATAGTTACCGCTCTTAGATTGTGGAAACTATGACGCTTTATAGGCTGGCCCAAGGCAATACCATCGTTTACTGTGATGGATTCGCCTGAAGGTTGAGGGGCGGAATGTCGCATATACAAATTTTTTGTAGCCAGGAGACTCCGAAAATGCTAGCTGACCTTCCAGCCTGGCCAGGTTCCTAATAAGCTTGAAGCGTTGTAGCTGGTCCAAGTCACCCCAAACTTCAACTGTCTGCCGCCGGCTTTCTCCATGAGGATATACTCCGACCCAATGGGGCTCGAAGAGTCCGAACTCCATGCAATGACGTTGGAGACAGGTACAGCGCTATGAGATTTCACTATTGGACATAGGCACATTAGCAGCAAAAAGTTTCGATAGAAAAGTGGCAGGCCCACCATATTTCAAGAGAGCTACTTCAGACGCAGTGTTATACTCCATTAATACGATCCGAGGGAATGGCATTTTCGCAACGATCTCTTTTCCGTTCTCTGCTGTCATTAACATCACCTTGTTAAAGCCGCCCTCCATTTTGTCGATCTTGGAGATGGGTGAAGAGACAGAAGGCAAAAAAGAAGCTAGGCTGCAGAGGGCGTCAACATCAAAATTTGCATATCGCCTTGCTTTTTGGCTCGTCTCGTTGACCAGAAAGCGTCCGTTTGTGTATTCAAACAGCTGCTGATATTGGATAGGTTCTCCTGGAACCAGTCAGAAGTGTCTTTGAATTGATTCCTTGCTGTTGATCCCGAGGGGCTTACCTCGACAAGTGAAGCAAATGCTCCTGAAGAATGTTCTTGATGAAAGTGGAGCTTGAGCCAAAATCCTCGTCTGTATTGGGTGCATGTCTAAGTGTGTTATTGTCCAGATTGAATCGTCACTATTTTAGCACTGGGTTCCTAGTCAGGTGATATGGCTGAGCGAAGAATGCAGACGACATATATCTTGATAGCGAGCTGTTGATGATGAAGTCTTCTATAGAGAAGACGAGGTATTGCCGGATATATGCTGTATGGTCGTCAAGACCACAATCGTTAAACACCCTAGTAGTTGTTAGCTGAAGCTGAATATTCTCGTTTTACAATAGAACAATAAAATTTACATCACCGTCAATTATTTTTGGTTGAACAACATTCATCTGCTGGCAGGTGCACCATAGATGACATTGAAGCCATGCAGTTGTTCGCCTACCTAAATGGGCATGACAGGTATAGTTTCCGACATATAATGAGGGCGTAACCACTGTAATAAGGATGAATGTTAAGACAGTATGTTAAATAGTAGTCATATAATCTTGTGATGTATTATCAACAATATGAGCACGGAAATAATAAATCCATTAAAACACTATATAAACCAAACCATCTAATCATGAAACAAACCAAGCCTGTGTCACTTCTCTGATAGAGACATAAGACAAACATTAGATGAAGTGCTAAACTCAAACGTGATTGTGTATGAAACGCAGAACAATCTTCCATATCTATAACTTTTTCAGAAAATGAGTAGTCTATGTGTTCGAGCATGATGGCGTATCTGTCTTGAGCAAGACTGCAGGGAGTTAGGGAACTAAATTAGATTGGTCTATACCACCGGCTAGTACCAAGGAGCATCATGTACCTAGGTATATGTGTTCCTATAGTCGGGATAGAATCTGTCTCTCATGCTCTGGTATCGCATCCACACGGCGAGGCGGTGTTTCGATCGCCTTCACGAATTGCCGGGTGTACTCTTCCTCTCCTAGAGGTCTTGCATCCATTTCCCCGGATATCTCCTGGACGACCTTCTGCGCCGATTCCATGGCACCAGAGATCCACGTATGATGTCGGCTTAAATGCTCACCAGCAAAGTGGATGTTCCCCTCTGGCTTCGCGGCCACACGATGGAAGCGACTAAACTGGCCAGGGAGAAACATTGCATCACCTGTCACATATTCATTGCTCCAGCAGATGTCGAAGGAATCCACATACTGGCTATAAATATCAACACCCGTGTCCGCGAAGAAGCGCTGCAGGTCATGCAGCGCCAGTCTGACACGTTGGTCGCGCGGGACCGACTGGATTCGGTATGCGTCGTTCATCCAGCAATAGAGCAGAAGGACTCCCGATCCAGAGGTACCCAGATCGTTGGACGGATAGACAATCCATCTGAACCGAAGGTCGGTGGCGCTTTGGCCTCCGAACGATGGGGCACTGAGCTGTTCCCAGAATCGCGTCCGGAAGTGTAGCCCGATCTTATATAATGGTTCGAAGTGGGCGCTGCGAATTGCTTGCTCCTTCATGAAGCTCCAGGTTGGGCGTTCCCGGATGCCCTGAAGGGCGGCTGGGGGGATGGCCAGGACGACTTTGTCGAAGGTACCAGTGAAAGGGATGGGTCCATGCGCATGAAGGGTGATACGGCCATCGGGGTTCTCAACAAGACGGTCGACAGGAGAGTTAGTGTGGATTTTCTGTAGACCCACAAGCTTGGCTGCCCCTTGCGTAAGACGGGACATGCCATGACCAACAGTAAACCACTCGCGAACATTAAAGTCTAAATTCTGCATGATGATCTCGACAAAGCTTAGGTCATACTGATTAGTTTGACTCGTCATCAGCTCGACAAAGTCAATCACCTCGTGTGGCCATTGCTGGACCAATGCGAGATAGCTCCGGAAAGAAAGCGTGTCGTACTTCATGATCTCGGCAAAACCCTGGTCGAAGTCTCTCTCTAAGAGTTTCAGCCATGGCGTGACAACCTCACCCAGGAGCTCCCGCGCAGACTTTGCTCGGTAGGGTTGGGGAATTCCTAGGCGAGATCCATGCTCAATGTCACTGAGGCCTGCTTTGTGGCCGTGGACGTATGCGATGTTATTCTCGTGCTCGATTATGTATGGAATGAGCTCGACTTTATCCTCGGGCTTGCCGTATGTGTTCAGAAATTGCACAAAGTGAAAGACACGATCATGTAGCGAGGAACGGGGAATTCGCATAGCTCCCGCTTCAAAGTAAACATCCTCGCCCTCGTTGAGCGGTTGAAATCGATGGGTGTAAATTCGGCCTCCTATCCTAGAAGTGGCTTCGAATACCGTGACATTATGTCCCTGCCGTTGAAGAGACAGTGCAATATAGAGACCAGAGATTCCAGCTCCGACAATACCCACATTCATGATGATTAGCAGAGAGTATAAAAGAGAGGTAGCCAACCTAGGTGGGAGGATAACTTAGGAAGATTTAGATGGTGGACAAGCACAGAAAATTCCCCATTTCTGAGTTCACCCACAAATTATATATGGTAGTTACAGGTGGAGGACTTTTAATTATGGGATCATACCAACAGAGAGTTACGAATATTCATCGGTCGATCCGATGCAAGCCAGCAGACCGACTTTCTTTCGTGTATTGTGATGGACGCGTCAATAGTCTCATATTGTAGGCCATTGAGAATACATTGTTGAAAGACCCAGGCTGTGTGGCATATGATTGAGAGAGCCTGAGGCTGCACGTTCTTCCCAAATGCAAGGCGAGCAAATCCACGTAAGTTCAGCTTACCCACTTGCTCATTGCCTCCTCCTGTCAAACAACCTCCCTGCCACCAAGGTATACTGAAACATGTCTGTCCATACATTAGGTATTTGGCTTCCTTACGTCGGTGGTTAATTGGAGGAACAGGTCATAGTGGGAAATACCTAATATACTCTAGAGGGTACTTCTGCTAGTAAGAATAGCGATGGCAATATCCAACTCCTGGACTAGCCACTAGTTCCACATTTCTCTTAGGAGGACGCTCCTGATCTTCCTGGGGGAATAATTACCTATCCCTGAAGGACCCGGACTCTTCCAGATGTGTCCAGACAAATAATTCGTATGTAGGCAGAGCTACATATTTTCCGAGTCCATATGATCTCGGGTCAATTCGGACCTTAGAAATAGGTAATAGTCTCACAGGTGACCGGAAATTTATAACGGGTCCAATAATTGACCCATACTATAGACATACTATTAGGATCGGTACCTGCCTATCCGAGCTGTCGCTTTATTGGACTTCTATCAAGGGACGTCCGTAGTGGCACCTTGAAGAAATACTAGCTTAATCTATTAATACACAATGTGTAGTACATACGTCCGGTGTTGGTTAAATCGCTGGCCCAGCCCTTAGCTGAGCTGCATATGTCCGCGTCTAATTCTATCCTCGGGCAGCTGGAGGAGACTTGGATCGACATTGCCTGCATTTTCAGCTGCTTTTGGTCCAGAAACTTTCTTCCTTCGACAGCGTTCTAGCGCTATTGCGTATGCAGGATTGCATTCCGAGTTTAGTTTTCATTGTGAATTACAAGTTATTTTACGGTAGATCACTGTGGACCTGGCTACGGGAACACACATTCGTCTACTCCCATGGATCCGCGGCTGTCTTCTGATGATATTTGCTCCGGGCCCGAATGCCTGGTCCATACCGATAGAACATCCACGGTAGCGGTGTCATCGCCAGGGAGACGAAACCTAGGACACTGGTAGCCCATGAAACCCCCAGACCCTTGTACATGTCTTGAGCGAAGAGCGGGAACACAGCACCAAAAATGGATCGCAAGACGCCATTGGCAGCCAGGGCACTGGCACCGTAGGGTCCATAACAGTCTGTCAGGTAAGCCATAATGCCCAAGAAGAGAGGGATGATCGAGAACCCAAATGGGGCTCCCGCGATGATCCCGCAGATCCAGTGGGTCGGAGGTTTTGCGGTCCAGCCGAACCAGAACAGACTGATGGGGATGAGCCAGGCGAGGATGATTAGATGGGGCAGGCGGGCCTCTGGCTGGGGTCCGAGGCGGAGCACAAAGTGGCGGTGGATCACATTGATGTAAGGAGAACCTATGGTTGCTAAGGTCATGCCGACGCCGATCCCGAGAAATGAGAGTCCGGCCATTCCGGCACTCCAGTCTCGTGTCTCTTTGTAGACAATCGGGTAGGCGGTAAAATCCAGATAGAGGATGCCGTAGATGAAGGCCATGTACAGAGAAAGCAGGAAGAGGATGGGCTCAGTACAGAGCATGAGCCATGGACGTGTCAGACTGCTGCGCAGCTGCTGGCAGACCTCGGGTTGTCCAATCTCATTCTCACGGCCCAGACGCCGGGCCTTGTCGTATAGAAGCTTGGTTGGATACGTCTCGGGCAGGAAGAACAAGACAGCAACGTAGACTACGCCGCTGAGGATGAGCACCACCCAGAAATTCCAGCGCCAGGGCGCGTATTGCGAGATGAACCCACCCACCACTGGGGCAAAAACAGGGCCTAGGAAGCTAGCAGCAGAGAAGCAGGCCATGGGCACAGAGCGATTACTCTGCGGCCAGAGGTCGGTGATGGAGCCCCCGGAGTTGCTGACGGTAGGAGAACCGAAGAAGCCTGCGAAAAAGCGGAAGATGATGAGAGAGGTGATGTTCGGAGCTAATGCACAGCCGATCTGAAAGGCTACAAACAGGCCCATTGTCAAGCGAAAGATTTGCGTCCGGCCCCTAAAATGGTTAACGGATTAGCACTGTTAGGGAGGTGTCGGGCATTGGTGCCCTATGGTGTGGGGGGAAGAAGGAAAGAAACCAAGCCTACCAGATCTCAGAGAGCGGCGCAAACAATAGAGATCCAAACCCGAAGCCTAGAAGAAAGGTCGTCACTCCCAAGGTCGCCACAATCTGCGAGCATCCCAAATCTTGCATAATATCCGGGAGGGCAGCGGTGTAGATGCTGGAGCACCAGGCCACGGTCGCCGTCATCATCACCACGATGCTGGTGCAGACCCCTACTTGTCATCGTTTGTTAGCTGCCCTATCATTCGCTCAATACGAGCACTATACGGACGCGCGCGGCTTTCTTACACTTCTTAGTTGTGGGCCATGTCTTCGGATTTTCTTTCACATCCAACACAATGTGGTCTCCCGTGGGAAACATTGCATCGGCAGATGCAGGCTTTGGTTGCTCTTCGACTGTATTCATGTCTCCCGTATTCACCATTTGCTTCAGAGTGAGAAGTGAGAGTTAGTGTAAGCGTTCAGTTATAAATACCGGGCCATGATTGTCTCAGGGCCGCCACCCAGGGCCAATCGAGCCACCAAGATGGTGTTGGTGACAAAGGGTTAAAGCATCCTGGGTTGTAATGATTATTAATCGATAGGGATGGGCAATTCGGGTTCTTCTGAATGCGTATAGATTAATAACGATAGCCATGGCCCAAATATTCTTTGATTGGCCCATGGCTTATAGAATCCACTCGTACCGATCTCCCATTATGCTTACTATGTATCTATGAAAAGCATTGACATGATCCCTATTAGTCTCGTAGCCACCCTCAATGGGCCCCCCTTTCACAGGAGCAAGGCATAGGTGGTGACCGGGAAGATCCGAATCACCTAATGCTAGCATTGTGTACTCCGCAGTAGTTTCTTTAATTTGAGCCGAAATATCGGGAGCAGTGGGTACCGGGTTTCATTGAGCTGACAAATATAAGTGGTGATATCACGACATCCATGGGAATGAGCCCCTATGCAACATCCGCATAGTACATTGAAGACTAGTGGAGCCAGCTGCATTTAGAACCAGTTAAGAGACCATGCCAGGGAGACTAGTCGCTGATCTGTTCTTCAATGCCTGTTGACGCGTCGCTACTCGATGCATACCCTTGCCACCTCCAAATTCATATAAGGAGAATACTCGTTGAGAATATTCCTTGCCAGGAATTATATCATATGCTTTGACGCTTGCGCGATGAAGCCTTGTCCCAAAATGGAAATTCCGAAGATCGATCCCCAGGGCTTCGCATCTCGTAAGCAAGGGAAGATGCGGACCCTAAAAAGGCCCGGCATGCATGTCAGAAGCAAGGAATATGCAATAATATACCGCACGCCATCGGCTCACTTTCCTAGATCTTCGAAGTCGGACGAATTGTGGCTACCGAGTGGTTATAAATATATCGATCGATCGACAACACAGTACACAATACTGAAGGGCAGAGTCAAAATCATGATGTTCCTTGAGTCAATTTCAACTTCAAAATGGTGTGATCTATCGATCTTTCGATGACTGATTTACCTACCTATACACCGTAGCCTGTACACGCGGCCCGATCCCTCAACCTCCCCTGCTCGAGTCTTTTATCCACTTGCCTGATGCAAACAAAAATGAGTATGTCGTCGGGCAGGTTCAGTAGTGGCTATGCGCTTTTTCTACCCTCACTGGATCAACATACAGCAAGCCGCTGTGGGTCTCCTCTCACAGAGTTATGTTAAAAAAGTTTCTATTACTCCTGTTTACTTGGGCTTCGTCCAATTACAGAATGAGATCCTAACCACCTGGCTATTCACCGACTTGCTCATGCTAAATTAGCCCAAAGGATACCAACAGGCTCCGGGCAAGGCAGAGCAGGCACAAAGTGAGCTTTGAAAGCCGTTTGATTGCGAGTATAGTATATTTTTGAGGGTAATCCAACCTTACGAGCTAGTGTCTAGATAAAACTAGAGAGCAGGGTCTGTAGAAGCCTATGTGTCTTTCCGGGAGTCACCAACACCATCACCATCATAGGTACATAGTCTAAGGACGTCTAGTTGGCTGCTCAATTTAGTAGATGTGAAGAACAAGGGAGTCGATCTCATGACATCTTCAAGTATTTTTTTTTAAAAAAAAAAAGAAACAAAAAAAAAAAAAAACTATTTACGTCGGTCGCCAAGGTCTGAGAAGCTTTTATGCGTGGTCGATCGCTAAGAGTTTAGTATTAATCTCGGTGATTTCACCTTGAGCATAGGGTGGTTTTATCCTGAGTGAAAACCAAAACACTGAGATTAGTCTAAATATCTTTGTATTTTGCCATTTCTTGCCGTATACACAAATTGTCTACCCTGACTCGTAGGTCTATGTTGTCAATATATTTATCTGATGGTGGCGTCAATATCACCTTCGTGCAGTAAGAAAAGAGGCCTTTTTTTTATTTTTTTATAAAAGAATAAAATAAAATAAAATAAAGAATAAAAGAACTAATAAAGAAACCATAAACATAATAATAATGATACTAATAATTAATAAAACGAATTACTCTACATACGAGAATATTATACTTCCCCTATATTCCCAACCCTGAGACATCTTAGATTTGAACTTCAGCTGTATGCAAGAGCGCCATAAGAAAATATGCATAACACTGCAGGAGCCAGTTCTTTATAGATTAATCGATAACTAGGATAATCGTGGCAATGTGGAATATCAATCATATTATATTTTCAGAAGCCCCACTCCTAGTCTCCAACTAAACATGCTTTGCTGCAACTTATACTTGTTTATTGGGTACAACAAGTAGGACAACTGGAGAAGCCTCCCCTAGCAGCTTACTGATATGCAATAATGCTAAGATGGACCACTTATTCTGGTAGTGTAAACTTTCTGTTAGTATTGCAACAAATTCACTATTTTCTTTAGGGAAGTATTAATCACTGCCCCCCTGAATAGGTTCGCGCTTCGATTTACAGGATTTGCTTTTGTGGGCGAAACTTTGCTTTAGGGGAGCCAGGAGATGATACTTCTTTGACTTGCACCTAGATACTATTGGTAACCTGGAAGTAAAATAAATGTCATTTAATGAGATTGTATGTCCCTAGGCTGGTGCCTCAACGTGCTACGATGTCTAGTGACCACGTACCACTACTAAATAGTAGGTTTTACATCTCTAGCACTATGCGTTTATATTATGTCGAGTGTTTAACTCTTCTGGGGCAGCTGGGGCAACACTGTTATCAACCTGATATGTACGGCTGACAACCTCCCTAGATTCTGCAAAACTCTTTAAAACCTCCTATACCCTCACAAATATCTTCCTGTTCATCATCAGTCGAACAGACAAAAGCAACCCCGCGCTCGCTAGTGTCAACGACCCAGCATAGAAGATTGCGGGTCGGAACGCCGCAAGACCGGCCTCTGTGCCGCCGTAGGCGTCTAGTAGGTATCCAGCGATAGGCGACCCCTATTCACACGTCAATATCTGCTTAATAACGGAAAGTATGTATATATGCATGGAGTTTTACCAGAAAATACCCAAAAGTCCAGGATGTCGACAACATAGACATAATATTTGCGAGCTGTCCATCGCCGAAGACCGCGCCTACGACGACAGGCATGAGACTGAAGAAACCACCGGAGCCCATTCCATTGATAACCGCGAAGAAGATAAGAAGTCCAAGGGAGGATGCAAACGGCCAGAGTGCCATTGCACTAACGCCGATAACAGTGAGCGAGAGGATCATACTGTTGACTGGGCCGAGGAAGATGTCCGCCCCAAAACCCATTCCGATACGGCCGAGAGCAGAGGCAAAGTTCCAAGCCGCGAGTATAGCTGCAGCCACTCGGCTCGAGAAACCGATTGATGAGATGTACAGCGGAAGTAGGAACGGCGGGACAAAAAGAGGGAAGGTTGCGATGGCACCCATTAGTAACATGAGAATGAATCTTAAACTACGGAGGAGACGCCTATGATTCAATGTCAGCAAAGAGAATGCTGTCAGCTGTATGGGGGTTCTACCATTGTATGCTCGACACGGCACGCGCGCTTCCTGCAGGAGCTTTGAGGAAGTATGATGCTGGGATGCAGATACCCCATGCCAGGCCCCCAAGTATCTTCAAAGCTCCTTCTAGCCCAGTGACGCTGATTAGCTCTTCCAGCGAAATTGCAATCACAGCAGAACCTAGCCCAGCGCCACCATAGACAAGGCCGGTTGCTAGCCCTCGTTTCTTTTTGAACCATAGGGACGGTACTGTTGCCGCCGGCTGTGAACCTGTGTTAGAATCTGACGATATCATATACTAAGATGAATCTTTTATTACCAAGAAGAGCATCGCAGCCCCAATACCAAACAGAAACCCCTGTGTGGCAAACATGGCAGGAACTGATTGCGTGGACCAGCCCGCAGTGAACTCTCCAAGACCCAGAAATATGCTCCCTACGAAAGCAGTAGCTCTGTAGCCAATGCGCTTGATAATCCGAGCTACTACCATTCCCATGAGAGGAGACATTGCCGCTCCGAGAGATCCAATGAACGACAAGGTCGAGGCGCTAGCGAGATGTGCATCGGCGAGATGAAGCTGCACAATGCCATAGGAGTATACCAAACCAAGATACACAAAAAATATGGCTGATCCAGCTGCAACAACAGGCCAGCCTTCCTTTTTGTCCCAGTCGTTGCTCAGCAGATCCTGGTCGTGGGAATCTAGCCGTTCATTACGTCCAGAGTCGCTGTTGACCCGTGATAACTCGTGGGAATTGCCATCCACGTTGCTAGAAGGACGGCGTATGGCAGCAGGCGGTCGTAGGCTCATGATGTCTGCGATGTTTGCGTATCCTGTATTGGAGTTATGTTGCTGTGAAGACACTGAAAGCTTCGCATGGTGACCAGGAGACTGTGGAGAAGGGCTAAAACAAAATCCTTCTGACTCATAAATAGTGGCTGCTCCGTCGGAATCCAGGTTTTTCCTCTTCTCCTGTTTCGTTTCTACTTAATCAATCTTAAACGACTAATGTTCTTAATAGAGAAAGCCTTTCATTAACTGCCTTTCTATCAACTACTATGTTTAAGCTAGATTTAAGCCTCAATAAATCTGCCTGGCCGCGATATCATGGAAATAGCACCTACCGTACTTTAATATCTTGAATTTACTGTGACAACCGGTCGAATCTATGCCTGAGTATCTTTTGGAAAGCGAACTACGACAAACCTAAAGCCTTCAATATGTATAAAAATGTATTCTTATTTAAAATCAGATATCTGTCAAAAATGTGGTTACCTTGTCTCTGAAATACTAAGGATGGGTCTGGAGAGGGACACGGAAGCGGGGGCGGGGAATGGGGATAAATGTGGGCTTAAACAATAGTTAATCTTCACCACGGAAAAATCTGCTAGTTCTTGAAACTAGACATATTTTAAGCCATTACCTCAAAATATGGGCTTGATATAAAAGAATTACTCGTGTTCTGACCCCCAGACAAACGAAGCATCACCGGCAGCAGTCGAGCAGTATACACCAGGATTATCACCCGAAGGTCGGGAAATATTGCCTTGGCTTCTGAACCGCATATCCAGCGCCTCTTAAAGAAGTGACAATGCCAGAAGACTACGAAAGTCTTCCTTATCAGGTCCACTCTCGCCATGCAAGATCCCGATCTTCCTGGACCAAGGTTTCATACTACCATTTTCGTCAAGACGGGACCGAACAGTAACGGTACTATTCACGAGGTCACCGGCGATATCACCTCACCGGAGGGGATGTACTATACCCGATCTCTTAGTGAAGCCCCAGAGCTTTCCCCGGAGTTTCATATAAGCCAGAAGTTGGGCGTTACGCAGGCTTGCAAACATCCCGGCGAATGGCAACGGGTTTTGGATAGTTTACCAACGCCGCCCCAGCAGAAAGCATTTAATGTGAAGACAATGAAGACGGAACCTTTTAAGACGAAGGATCCATTGACTTTCTATGAGCCTGGGGAGCGTAAACGGCCATTGATGAAATGTACTGAGTGGACGATGGAGAGGGCAATTCCTGCTCTTAAGGCCAATGGGCTTATCATCGAGGGGTAGGGTGTTTCACGAAATGGAATCGAGAGTCTATTGAGCTATAGACAATACTGTAATGTCTTTCAACGAATGATGCTGTAATTTTTATAGCCGGCTATGTCTTATTTTGCTTCTTTTGTTATCTTCACTTACTTTGGGCTTTTCGCCGATTGCTTTCTGATGTATTGCTTTTAATGTGACATGTGCGTAGAGATTGATTTTGAGCAGCTAAAGAAAGTAGAAGAAGTGTAGCACTTTAATCTATCTAGGAGACCATGGCAAAGATGCTATACACACTGTCAGTTTACTCATGCCAACCATCCCCTGCACCTAGCATCCAGTTCACAGCAACGAGCTCCAGTCCATGCTGCTGTACCCACTCAGCAGCCTTAAACGATCTCCGAGCGGTAAACTCTTCACCTCCCACATCTTCCTTCGAAAGTGATAGGCCATGTGGCTCGCGGAACAGCAGAAACAGGTACCGATGGGGGCGTGAACTAACGTACCATTATCTGGTAAGTACGTACACATATTATGAGCATAAGTAGGGAACCTTACTCATCTTTAGGCCCAGGGCCAAGATACTCGGTTAAAGTCTGAACAGTTTCAGGTGCTCCCGACGGTTGCAATCCGGAAACGACCCAATGCCGCCAGTATGCGAATTTGGGATCATCTGGGGTCGGTGCATCTGGGTCTACCAAAAGCAAGGTATAATTCTGTGGAGATTCAAGGTCTCTCTTTTGTACATCAACTAGTATTAGCCCCGGGTGGGGAACTCCGCATGAATGCTGGATAGTTACATACCTCGGCCGCAAAAGATATCTTCGGAGCTGATTTGCAATCACTGACTCTGAACAGGCTTCCCAGAGAAACTGATTTTTCGCCGAATGTCACCTGAAGTTCTGTCGTCGGGGTAAAGTCCTCTGGGATGAGGGGTGCGGAGCTGGGAAACAGCCCTGCCTGGCGCAGGGACGCGATCAAGGTCACCACTTGAGTTTCCGACATTTCGTTATTTTTCTAGATTGCCAATATAAGACAACAAGGGGTATGGAAGCGGGGAGGCATAGTTGTATAAATAAGCGCTTTTACTTTACCTCGCGGGTGGTTGTGATGCAGGCTCGGAATGTCAGTGGTGGAAGAATCCAAGTGATTCCGTCTTGGCCCCTCGAGATCGAGCCAATTTATACATTGGCCAACTATGGCAGAAGCTGAGTTCCCTGGAGACGAGATTTAAGAGAAGAAATAGCATTTTTCATTAACAGAGTCTGACGCCACTGATGGACCCCAGAACCATCCGGGGTGCTTGGGCGTCCCTACATCTAAATTAACCCTTATCATTTCGTTTATCCCCGCCTACATTGCACGACCGATCTACCTAGTCACGGGCAAAATCCTAGGAGCTTCCCCTGTTCTCTCAGCAGGTATTTTACCAATTCTTAAAAAAGAAACCTGGAGATGCACATTGGGTGGAATTTGGAAACGATGAGGGTTTGGTGATCAAGACTATAGAGGGGGGATCCTATACATGGAGCGGCTAAAAAAGGCGGAATTGCAGTGGAAATTGACTGAAATAGAAGACCAAAATGAGTAGTCAAGTATGGTATATAAGTTTCTCATACACGTACATCTTTTGAGAAAAGAAACGGCACTACGCCGGGCTAATAATGAAAAGGGTAAGCCTATATATGTTGTTCTAATAGGGCCTTGAATTTAAACGACTCTTCTTAAAGCCGTTCCGTTGTAGGCGAGATTCCAACGTCCTGAATGATATATCCAAGTAACTTGGATCCCTTGGTATTCCTTATTAGCAAATATACAACAAAATAAGCTTATTGTAACATCCATGTTCGTACCTGGATGTTCCTCAGCTGAAAGAGTTGAATCACCTCACTATGGATGATTTTGAGGAACACGTCTTCGTTGCCAAGTACCAGAACTAGAAACTATAATTGGTCCTGTCTTTTGTACTAATATCCTTGAGGACTTTGCAAGCCTCATTTCCTTGAATAGAAATGATAGCTTGCCTTGAACATTGTAGTTCAATAGAGAAGCCCCATCCGCAGTAACTACCCTCTGTCTAAACTTCAGTTAGCCACTTTTCAATCATAGTAAGTAATGGGCAGCCACTCACGATAATTCAAAGTAGCGAAGGACAAGAATCATCCATCAACTTTTCTTCTTCTTGGGAGAAAATGACTTCTTCTCTAACCTACCCCAGCATTCTCTTCCCAGGTGGAAGTCCCTTTTCCTCAACCAGGTTTGCAAACCTTTTGTCCTTCTCTAACTGCTTCAAGTCGATACCCAATACCTGTGCCATTATAGGAGCAAGATCGTGCGCAGCACAAATGCGAAAGTCACCGCTTTCGACACGTTTCTTGTTACGTCGATCGAGACGCTTATTCAGTTCTTCTTCAACAAAGTCTGAAAACTCCTTGCCGTTAATGACAGTCTTCTTGATTGTCTCTGCTTCTTTCGGAGTGAAGTACGTTCGCCGATGAAGGATGGGTCAACTATCTTCTCCAGCCGTTTATTGGAATCGGGCTTGTTGAAGCTCTTTAGGTCGGCGATTAAGACGTCTATTCGATACCAGAGGTTGGGAAAGGCTGAGAAGTCTTTGATATTTGACACTGTGGGACTTGGAATGTTGGTCGCATCCTCAGGATTCGTGTTGTCCGGCGTAAATGATGCTGAAGCCATAATTATAAAGAATGGAAAGAAGAATGAACTGGACTTTTGCGCTTTAAGCTTTTCGCTAGACTTCTATGAGCTTATTGAAGGAACAAATATAGACGTTTTAATGGGAAGTCCTTGGGAGGTTATTGGGGACAAGGCAAGGTAGCAGGAATCAGTCATGGGAGAATGAAACATTGTAAGGTACAATGACTATGGTTGCCGACTAGTCGATTGTTTCATTCGTCTGTCATCAAGACGTGTGGTGTCTTCTTACTTGACAGCACCGTACCATAACGATTACCGGCAGAACGAGTGATTATTCTTACAGCACTTGTATTATGAGTCTCAGATGCTTCGACTTTTCAAGCTCAAAAACTTTGTAATAGTGGTCCTCTTGCTACGCCAGCTAGAGCGGAGGTGGGGATGTGTTGGGAAGTACAACGTTCATTGCTATCTCTCGGGGCGAAAATGCCGAAACCAGACTCAACAGTGAGACATCGTTGAATTTGAAGGCGGCTCGGCCCGTCCAGACGATTATATGCCTTGGTGGTCGCTCGAAGATGTTAGATATCAATACCAACGCACCGGTATACTTAGGGTTTACCATGGGTGGGTTATGCATATGCATAGCTTATGTAAGGGGTGTTACACTAATGCACCGATATCAATATGGATATCAAGATCTATCGTCATCCTTTATCAAATTTCCAGTCCCATACCATCCTCCTCCAATATACGCCAATTAACGCCCTACAAGTCAATTCCCCTAATACAACAGCCTCTACCCATATAATACAAAACCATAAGACCTACAGTAACATTGACCTACACAAACCGACAAGTCAAAAGCCACAAAACCACCAAAAGCTCAACCACCCACCAACCCAAAAACGCCGTTATAAAGAAAGGAAATAAAAATGCCTACAAAAGTCCCCACCCAATCTGACTTCCCACCACACCTAACCGTCTCAATCACATCCCCAAATACCACCACAACAACCACACGCCCACCACCCAACATCCTTCTCCTCCTACACGGTATCGGCGACACCAGCGCTACATTCAGCACCTTCGGTCGCGCCCTCAACCTCCCCGAAACAACTGTCCTCACGCTCCAAGCACCAACACGTCTTCCCTTCGACCTCCCCGGATTCCACTGGGGCGATGACATTTCCTTCGATTCCCGCACGGGGGCGCTGGACATGGACGCCGGGTTCACGCGCGCAACGCGCACGATAGTCGACGAGGTTGTTCGCTGTGCTCTCGTTCAAAAATGCGGGTATAAGTTACGGGAGATTATGATTCTTGGGTTCGGGCAGGGGGGTATGGTGGGGCTTGTTTGTGCAAGGGAATTGGGGATACAGCCTAGGGTTAAGGATGTGGGTGATTCTGGTGCGCATGTTGGGGGTGGGCGAGGGGGGGACATGGCGTTGTCGGGGGTTATTTCTATTGGGGCGCCGTATCCAATTTCGGGGAGTGTGGTGGGTGAGAAGAATCGGACGCCGGTGTTGCTTGTTGCTGGACGGGATTCGGAGGCTGTGAGTGATGGGGCGGTTAGCAGGACGAAGGGGGTCTTTGAATTTGTGGAGGTCACCCGGTATGCTAGGAGGGGAGATGGGATGCCAAAGTCTAGGGAGGAGATGCTGCCTGTTATGAGGTTTTTGGCGCGCAGATTGAGGAGTTGGCAGGGTGTTCCAGATGGAAGTGTGGAGATTTCTTAGAGTGTTTTGGGAGTTGGTAAAGCGAATCTTATGCATGGTGTGTAGTGATGATGGGTGTAGGGTGGGTAAGACGATGCTGTGGCGCTTTGGTGATCTACTGGAATATGGATTGGTAGAAGTAACATGAGGCGATGGTAAGTATGGTACATTGCATGATCTACACGGGTCTATGCGATGAAACTCAGTCTACCTGCTCCAGGGCTTTTCTTGCCCGATCGATTGTCTTCCTGGCCTCAGTTTCGACGACTTCCTCGTTCCGTGGTCCACCTTCTTGCAAGACGGTGTGCAGGTGCTCCTCGGTCTTAATCAATGCCGTCCGGCCCTCTTCCCGGATTTCGTCTTCAAAGAATGTGCGGGCAGAGTCCCACTTCCTTTGTTGCCGCCGTAGGGCGTAGATTAATCCAACTGCGACGATTGTGCCGGTTTCGTACACCGACGCTGTCGGAACGGAAACATATGTCAGTGCTGACAGAGCGGATGTCAAGGTAGTAGTTGACATGCTGAAGAGGACTAGCCTCTGCGCCATTGCCTGCAGGGAGGGCACAGTCGTCTCCAGTAGCCGGTTGCGACTTGTGGTTATTTGAGTCGGCCAGAGCTCATCGGACTCTGGTTTATCATTCGTGGAGTCGTTAGGAGGCTGTTGCGCTGGTTGAGAGGCGTCCTTTAGCTGCATCCCGAGACCGGCCTGGTGGAATCTTCCCGCAGTCCAGATCACCTCTTTCTCTGCACGCGGCAGATAGTTCTTTTCCAGAATCTCCGATGTGATCATGCCTACGTCGTCCACATGCCAGAACAATTTCCACCAGGCAAGGCCCTTCCATTTCTTTGTCGCGAACCCTTCCTCGAGTGAGCTGCGCAGTTCTGTATGTCCCCTCTCCGCCCACTCAGTCACTGAACGGTCTAAGTTCTCCCGGACCTCGTCTGAAACTGCGACTGCTTTTTGATCCTGTGATAACCTGCTCTCATCGGCAACAACTCCAGCCTCTGCGGCGTCAATCAGAGACGTGATTAGAGACTTGAGTGAGGGGTCGAGAGCCCCTTCCGCCGCCCGCAATGATGATAACCAATCTTGAACAGCCGGCACACCGCTTCCATTCCAACCACGTTCATAAAGAGAGGCGTTTTGCACGGATTCACGGAACTTCTCGAGGGCTTCGTTCGCTCGATCGATGTCTACGAAAGCGATTCGGTCATTACTTTTCTGTGGGGCAGTAACTGCCAGATCGATAGCCCCATAAACTGAGCTCGTCTCTTTCTTCAGGTCTGCCCGAGAGACCAAACCATTGTACGCAACCAATCCGTCCACTCCGCGGCCGCACACAACAGTTCTGTGGACAGGGTATCGTACGGCATTATGTCGGCCGGAATGTGATGTTGGGATTGTCACTGTAGGGACGAGGAATGTATCTGCTGTAAAATGCGCACCCGATGACTCTGTCTCAGCACCCAATGTAGACACTAGGATTTCAAGATTGCCTTTCTTAAGGATGGGGGAGGGCACGGAGATAGTAGGGAGAAGGTTGTTCGGGATGGACTCTGATACTTCGCCGTATCTATGGAGAGCGTCAGCAAAGCCTATCATCCTGATCCCCATTGGTACAATCTAAACATACCGAATCAGCAAGCCTTGTGTAGGATCCGAGTCGTAGGCATCCAGTGCGTCCTCCCAGCTCTCGCGTGCGTTTAATGGATCAGCGAGTAACAAGCGAACAAGCTTGCGCGCGGCAGTCGCATCATTCAGACCGAGAACTATTGAAACATCAACAAACATATATGGGAGTACTGCTGTGACGAAGAAACCCACCAGCAACCCGGATTATGGGCGCTTCACTTTCCAATCCGCGCAAAGCAAGCTGCAATCGGCTGATATTCACCTGCTCCGTAGCTACACCCTGAATCTTATTCAGGGTCTCATATAGCTCTCTCAAGCGCGGTGGCACATGTCGGGCGTGAATCACAGACGATGTAGTGATGGGGCGAGAGGAGAAAAAAGAGAGAGGGTTAGCTTCTAGCCGGGGAGAAACGATGCCGTTCCGACGCGTGGACAGGCTCCGTCTCCGTGTTGCGCAGGACGGGCAGTAGTAAGCTGCAGCTTTATCCCCAGCACGCGGCAAGCTCTTAGAGAGCGAGCCGCGCAGTTTAGGAGGCATTGATATGTGGGGAGAGGGTATCTGGCGGAAAGGTGGAGGGTATCAGTGATATATGGATTGGGAAGGGCGGATAATTGAAGTTGGTGTTGAGTCTTGGCGGCCGCGGAGGCCCGTGACTGCCGATTCCCAGTATTACAACGAAATAATTCTTGCTACACTCCAATGCTCCATACGGAAGATTTTTGACTAGAGTAAAAACAAAAAGAAAACCTGCCTACAAATACCGCACAGTTATAAACAAGATAGGGGTGTGTCATGGTGTATCGATTCATCAACTCATGGAGCAAGACGTCACGGACGCCTCGATAAATACAACAATAGTCTCTGTCGCAGTTGGAATACTCAATGCAATAAAAGTCTGTTTCTTTGTTACAGACAGGACATAAGATTATGTAGCTGGGCCGTTCGCCAGAGGAAAAGCTCCTCGTTATATCGTCCGACTCAGAGGCGCTTTATACAGGTCTGGATCAATATTTGTGCACCGAGAAAGACGGATTGAGCAAGCGCAAAATCAAAGTGGAATGCTTAATGATAGTGATCTTTGCTCATGCTTCTCGACTCTCTCGAGCGGCATCTCGCTGCCGCCGGCTTCTGCCCGCGCCCGCAGACCTGTTACAGGTTAGAGTACGCTCCCTCGAATTGTCTTTTTCACCAATAAAACTTACATGCTAATCCGTCGAGCCACGGTAGCTAATCCGGCGTCGTTGTCTGCCTCACGTTGAGCACGCTCCAGGGCAGCTTGTCTTTCCTCCTCACTCCGCTTATAAACTTCTTCACTACTCGGGGGCAGACGCTCGTTTTGCAAGTCAACCTTACGGGCATCCTCGAAGTTTGTGATGGCCTGCTTAATTCCCTCTGCTCCCAGCATCAAAGTACCCGCGGGAAGGCGACCACCGGTTGCTGTCTTAAGTTCCGTGACCCTTTCGGACTCCTCACGCAACACCTGGAAGACTCGTGAAAGACGACCGATGGCAAGGATCTTGTTCTTAATTGCACGTCGCTTGAATTCACTGGATTCGACGTCCATCGGAACAGGGGGCGAGGGCGGGCCTGTAGGTGAAACGGTCGTAGGGGTATCATCTTCCAATTCCTCCTTAGAGCAGGTGTTAAGGATAGCAATCAGCATATCGGTAATCTTCTCACCGACGAAGGGAAGAGACCAGGTGAACACATCCATGAAGTTTGGCAGCCAGTACGGGTGAGGTGTGCAGTTGAATTGACGGATATTCATCACGTTGTTCTCGTACTTCAAGACAGCAGCTTTGTTGTTGTACACATCCAAATAGTTAGGCGCACTGAAGATCGTCATCACGCTAGGGAAACCGGTGGTTCTTGTTTTCCGATACATGCGGTATCCGGCGTCCTGAGCCTCGTGGGCACGGATAATGGACAGGAGGTTGTTCTTTTCCAGGAAAGCGCAGGCGGCAGGGTATGAGAAGAAGTAGGAGCATCCTCGAACACTGTTGTGAATGAAATAATCTCCAGTCTTCTCCTGGCCAAATTCCTCCAGAGGATCAGCCCAAAGAATGTCGCACATCAAGCCATGAGTCGGAGGCTCCCTAAAACGATCAATCTGCGGCCTGTATCAACACCTGGCATTACTACTGTGACGGAATATGCTTCACTTACCGACTTGATGTCCTCCAATGTGTGTAACTCAGGACTCAGGCCACCGTGGATACACAGGAACTGCTTGTTCATGACCGCCGCCAGCGGCAAGGAGCAAAAGGATTCAATGCAGGCCTCATAGATGCGCTCGCTGTATTTGTGCTTACACTCCAGTTTGAAGGTGAAGTAATCCGTCAAATGCCTGCACTCGTGGTTACCTCGCAGCAGCCAGAGCGTATTCGGGTACCAGATCTTCAGGGCCCAGAGGTAGAGAACACACTGTACAAGGTCAGACCATTTGCGCCACACAACCCAGCGACGGCACAAAAACCCAATAAACTCACTTCAATGCTAAAATAACCTCTGTCAACATAGTCGCCTAAGAATAGATATCTCGTCTCAGAAGGGTCGCCGCCGACTTCGAAAAGCTTCATCAAATCGTAATATTGTCCGTGAACGTCGCCACACACCGTGATAGGGGCATCCATCTCGAGCAAATTCGGCTCTGCCTTCAACAACTGCGTACCCGCATGTATAATCCATAGCGCTTGGTCTTCGGTGAGACGACCCTCACGATAAAAGTGCTGTTTCAGAAACTGGAGGTTTGGCTTGGAAGGGTCCTCAGGGGACCAGAACTGTTCGTCCGTCGGCGTCTGTAACGCCGGCGCTTGTACCTCTGCAGGATCGCCAAACGGTCAGAATGAAAGATAAGGGAGAAATTTAAGGGATGCTGCGTGACTTACCTTTTACAACCCGGTCCATGGTGGACACCTGGGTGCCATCTTCCATGGTATGTAAGGTGAAGTCAATCTCCGGGACTGGCTTCTTATCCGTCACCGCTCGCGCTATTGTGCGGTCCATCTTGAATCAAGTTGATTTGGAAGGCTCACGACTAGGATCTTGAAAATCGCAAGAATCCAAAGCCCCGGTAGATAGAGAGAGAGGGCGAAGAAAAGGGGGGGTGGGAGGGGGAGACTTGACAGCGCGGAGAACCCGATGTTTGGTGGGGTTAGAGCGCGGCGGGATCTCTCACGCGAGGCGAACGCCCGAATTGAGGCTGAGATATGGTTGACCCTAAGGTTGGGAGTGTCGGCACGTCGAAAGGGGAAAAAAAATGTTTGCAAATAAGAAGAGTTTCTCCAATTCAACAGGGGGGGAAAAAATAAAACCAATGAAAGGCCACTAGCTGGGTATGGAGTAAAGGGGTGTGTTTTTCTTTAAAAAAAAAAAAATGGTAGACGTGGGTCGTGTGTTAGAATAATTAAGAACAAGAAACAAGCAAGCAGTCGAGGCTAATCCAAGGACTCTGAGATGCTGAGCAGGGGCTGAAGGGTAGTGAAGGGGTACAGTCAGTACGGAGCAGTGGTAACCGATAGTATTACTATCGACTAGTAGAGATGGTCTTTCAAAATTCAAACTCCCCCAATGTTACGTATATGCTAAACTTAATGTAGATAGCGTATAAGTTGACATTCAGATTCAGTTCTAGGTCATATTATGCTAAATATCAAGCCCTTCAAAATACTAGCGCATACCATATACGGGTCTAGAATCTAGATCTAGGAATTTGGAGGATGGGAAGTTTTAATATATACTTAGTAGATAAGGTAACAGTTAGTTTGGTAATCTATCAGTAATTCTCCGTATTCCACAACCATATAGTATTACTCCTTCCTTATTCTACAGTTTACGGTGTACTTGTCAATGGTCCAAGTGACATATTGGGTTCACTTCAGGATATCACAGCCACCCGTACTAATAAGAGTCTATTTCTACAGAAGTGAGATCGTGACAACAGCAGAGTGGAACAGTTGGGTAGAGTTGAACATCATTAAATCTCCTTGACCTAGATAGTAGTAGTAGTAGTAGTAGTAGTAGTTGATTTATCTCATTCCTCACGGCATACCAGTTGGCTATTCACATTTTGAATTCGTTCATCGAGATAAATACCTTGTCTTTCTCTGTAGCCCGCATCTCTCTTGGGGAGATCGCCTTCAAGCCAATATCCCTCATCCCTACGAACCAGCGCAATATTTCTTGCCGAATTCGCGAAGTTCACGCCTTTCCAAGTAAACCAGCCTAACCAATAATTGTTCATTCAGTAGTAGGAAAGTCCCTCAACTATATTATAGAAAGTTCGATATAGAAATACTATACCATTCGAGTTTCCAATGTGTCTGTCGAGGTCCAGCCTGGCTTCTTGATCATCACCCGCCGTGTTCTTCGTGTTGCAGACTAAGGTGGATGCCTCAAGCCGAATACTGTTGGAGGAGGTAGAAAATTCCATGTTTTCAAATCAGATGCAGAAACAATGTACTGTATTATTGGTTTGCGTTCTTGGGGAAGGACAAACTCTGTCTTGAAACAAGAAGCAGATTCGATCTGTAAACATCACAAGAGGAGAGCTCAACCACGCATGGCTATATTGCTTTCTTTATACTCCGCTCACATGAATTAAGTTTTCTCATCATCTAGCCGGCCTGAAATTGCCATTTTGCGATGGAGCTGTTGGTGCTTGAGTTGGGACGTCGTCGTGGATATAGTTTTAGAATCGTAACAGTACATGACCATACAAGCTGGGCCCCAGAAGGCTCCATCCATTACTCAGGTGTTTACCCGTTTAGTATTAGTAGTGATGTTTTCCAATCTCGAAAACAGAGCTTCAAATACGAATATCAACACAAGATATGGAAGGCAACCAGGCAAAATCCAAACCTAACACGATTGGAAAATGAGAGTGGGGATCAAAATCAGACAAATCAACATTGAAGTTAATCTAAGATTTGGAGATCCACGGATCGCACAAATTATGATAGGGTAATTAATCAATACTGTACTACGTATTTGTCGTATTAAAAGGTACCGATGGCGTCACGGGGTTTCCCCTCTCAATGAATACGGAGTATAACCTCTCATGATCTTGAACAACTACAACAACCCCATTTTCGCCCTCAGATCGTCATCTGGCTTAGCTATCTTCCTTCGACTAACTTCTCCCGTGTGGACTTTCTCCCAATTACTCATAATGTATGAATCCTACCGTAAGTCCCCTCTTATCCCCTTATCGCAGCTTTTATACTAATCATTCTATCTGTCCATTTGTCCAGGCCCGCATCCACTCCTGGCACAAGTTCCCTTGACCGTCTCTCCTTTTATCAACCTCCCTTCCTCAGTCACCCTTCCCTACACCTACAAATCGCTTCCTTCCACACTTCCGGCATCCGTCACAGTCGACCCCAACAACCCCGAGGCTAAGCCCCGCTATGTCGTCTCCGCGAGCGGTGAGCACGCCGCATCCCCCGAAGAAATCCTAGCCTCGTGCAAGTCTCTTGAAGAACTGCTCAACAAGAACCGCACGGATGCGGAGACGGCTATTCAAAATTGGGAGGAGTCCATTGTGCAGCGCGATCTCGCGGAGAAGAGACGGGTTGCGCCCGGGTGGTTGGACCGGGAAGAAAAGCTACTTCAACCGAGTAGATCCATGGCAAGCCCTAGACCCTCAGGGCAACCAGAGCACAGCTTGCTAGACAGCCTGTCTTCGGATCCGGACGCGTCGAAACTACCATCGATGAAGCCGCGCGACGAGGGTGAAGAGCTAGATAGAGTGTTCGGTGGGCTAAACGTAAAATGAGTGGTCTCGATCGCTTGAGCGTCAGGCACGATCATCCCCCTTGACGTGGCAGCGTCATTTAGCTTCCTCTGCCATGGTGTGAACCATCGGGGAAAGTCACCGATTGGACCACTCCCATCGAGCTCTCGGTAGACTTTGCAGGTTCAGCTGCACCTCATATGCAGATTGAGCTTTAGCATACCACAATCCTGCGGCTTCAGCACGGACGAAGCTCGCTACACCGCACTATTGCGTAGAGTCGGCCCATATACAGGAATGAAACTATGGGGTTAAATCAACGATTTTGATGCGGGGAAATATTCTTGTGCAAATTGGGTCCAGTTTTTGATCTTGCCTTAAGAGATATCCAATACCCGACATGTGCGGTTCCCATACGTTTATGCTCCATGAACGAAATGAATTACACTAATTATACTTAATACGTTATAACATATACTCTCCCTATGCTATAGGCTAATCCATTGCGTCGCCCTTAAATTTATAAAAAAAAAAGAAAATTGTGTCCAAGTAAAGGCGAATTTCCCCCCACCAACCCAGCAACGGCAGCCCCTCCGCCTTCTCCCATATCAAAGCTTAATCTCCGCCAAAGCTCCCCGGCAGAAATATTGAACCACCACCAACTAAACCTCCCTCCACCAAACAACCCCCAACACGCTTCAAACGCAGCCAGAAGAAAAAAAGATGGAGCCCCTCCAAACACCACCAGAAACATCCTCCTTCGTCCTCCTCGCCGACCACCAGTCGCGCACGCCATCCTCCTTCCACTCCGGCCCCGCAGTCCTCCACTACCACAGCAAGCACTGCAAGCTATCCATCCTGGAACACGAGCTCCAAGCCAACCCAATCCTAAACTCCCTCCGCAGCGCAGACGCGACAAGTACCACAAACGGAACAGAGAACCAAAACGGCGACGACACCGAAGGCAAGGAAATCGTCATCGATGGCGTAGACGTCTGGGTGACTTCCGAGTAAGTAAAGAAAGACCTCTCTCTCTCTCTCTCTCTCTCTCTCTCTCTCTCTCTCTCTCTCTCTCTCTCTACGCCTGAAACTACAATCTATCTCCGGTCAATGAGAACTAATGGGATATGTGGTAAACAATTAGTAAATTTCTCCTCTACAACCCAACCTACCAAAAGGGCCTCTCAATTCCCTACCCCAGCATCTCCCTGCATGCGATCCAGCGTCTCACGCTCCCAGACACCCAGTCTGAAGTGCAAGGTCTGTATATGCAGATCGCGGTCCCTGAACAACCCGGCGCCGTCCAGGAAGATGACTTCGAAGAATGTATCACGTTGACTGTTGTCCCGCCGCCTGAGTCCCAGCAGCAGCAGCAATCCGAGGAGGAGAATAAGCCAGAGGAGACTCCCACGCAGGCGCTGTATAATGCCGTTTCGGCGTGTTCGAATCTGCACCCGGATCCCATGAGTGACGATGAAGATGAGGAGGGTGGTGCCGGTGGTTCGGGGTTGTTGTCGTCCGGGCTTGTGGAGATGGGGAGTGGGGATGGGGGACTGCCACCGCCGATGGATGGGAGCTCGGGGTGGATTACGGCGGATAATATGCATGAGTTTTTTGATGAGGAAGGCAACTGGATTGGGGGTGGGGAGGAGCCGACTTTGTCTCTTGGTCCTGGGGCAGGGACTGTGAGGGCTCGTGAGGGGGAGGACGGGGATGGGGATGAGGAGATGCAGGAGGATGAGGAGACGAAGTGGAGGAGGACGGATTAAGTGAGGTTTTGGAGGTTATGGATAGACGTGGTGTAATCATCATTGGTGGGTTTAGTTGAGATTTGGGATTGGGAATCAATGCTTCTTGGATGATGGGTGAATAGGTGGGTTATGGGACCGCGTTTACTATTATTGTATCATCTTTGGGCCAAACAGTCTACTGTGATGTGTGAGAAACGTAAAATATAATTACATGCTATATTATTGGTAGTTTGGTTCTACTAACTATGCCTATCTAACAATACAGTGGATATCAATCGTTCGCCTGCGCAACAAACCCTAATGAAACAAAGCACTTATCTCGCCAGAACACCTGAAAAGCATAGAATACAACACGTGGCAGCTACCTGAGCGCACCATACAGTTATTCTTTCAAGAACCCGTCCCCATCATAAAGACTGCCTGGCGTCGCAGCGCCAATGCCCAATCCCACAGTCTTCTTGACGGGTGTCGAGAATTCCGGTCGTGCACTCCTTAGGCGTTCTGGCTTCCGAGGCGTCGATTCACCGTGCAGCTCTGCAGGCCCGGACTCTTCGGAGATAACGGATATTGCAGACCTTTTGGTGGGACGACGGCTCGGGGAGCGATCATGATCCTCCCATATCGGGACGATGCGGTTCCCAGCTCTGCTGGAACTGCGGGAAGGGGGTCGCTCTGGGGGCTGCGTGTAGCTTTGCTGTTCTGTAGGGAGTGAGCGACCCGTAGTCAGCTTCTCCTGTCCATTCGTATGTTGACTGTGATGCCGCGGTGAACCTGTGGCGGTGCTTTTGGCACGCTGCACAGAGTCGGTCGACTTGCGATTTGATCCATGCTTCAAGCTCTGACTGCGAGGGCGGATCGATGGGCTTGTAGCGTTGGCCCCGTTTTCTAGTAGATGTGATCTACCGCTATTGCGGCGTGGTCTGGTTGGCTGGCTGCGTGGTCCTTTGACGGCGGACCGGCGAGGACTGCCTGGACTCGGAGCGTTTTCCCATGTCGTTGGCGAGCCACTGTACTTAGGAGCGATCCAAGCTGGGAAAGGCTTGTCAGGTGAAGGGGTATCTATCAGGCTACCTCCTAGACTAGGGGGCAGTGTAGTGATAATTTCAGGAAGGGTTCTGTCCACGCCAGGGTTCACCGTACTCAGTACACTATCTATGGAGTCATCCCGGCTATGCTTCCGCTTCTTAGATGAAGCAATGTAGGTCGAGTTTCGGTACGAGGGTGGACGACTGTCACTAGAGATCTCTGTGATGCGTGATAAGTCCCCTTGTTGGTCAGAACCGGTCCGGCTCATCGAGAGGCCAGACACACTTGAGCGCGAAGATGAGATGTAGGAAACCGATAGATCAGACACCTGTGATGCGTGTCTGTCAAACTCGTCTAGCTCTTCCGGCTCCTCAACCATGGGAGCAAACGTAGTTCCTCCAAAAGTAATAGGTGGCTGGATCGATATCCGGACACAGTTCTGTCGTCGATGGCCTTTTCGGGGACGGTTGCCGCCTCTCATAGCGGAGGCTAACGGGGGTTTGAGATAACTATTGGAAGGGGCCAAGTGCGACTCTGGGATAGGTGAAACGCTAGCCCACCCAGGAGTACTTGCGCGACCAAAGCCAGCAGACACGCCCCCATGGAATGGGTCATTTTCCCGCCGCTGGCTTCCATGTACGGAGTGTCGTTGTAGCTGACTAAAATGTGGTAGTAGGGCTGTGTTACAGCCCGCCTTGTTCAAGGAATAGATGCGTTCTAGGTCAGTACGCTGAAGAGAGTCTTTTCTGGGCGGGCGTACGTTGAGGGATTCGCTTCTCCGCGGGGGAGGGTTAATTCGTTCCATGGAGTGAAGTGAACTGCGTGCTGTCAAACTTCGGCGGGGAGAAGTACGATCCGGCTCGAGTCTCTGCACCTCCCTTGGAAGTGAGCCCGCGGGGAAGACGAATGGAGCAGGTGGTC